CGCGGAGGGAAGCGGGGCCACAGCTCCCCGCCCCCACCCCCTGACCCTCTCGCGCCGCCCCGGCCCTTCCGGCTGCTGTTACCCCTCGGCGAGCGGCGGGGTGGTAAAACCTGTGGGTCTCTCCCCTGCGCGCCCTCGTGAGGGTCTGGCTCCTTTAGTCCTCCCCCGCGACTGCTCCTGGCACCCACTCGCCCGTGACCGAATAAACGCGGCCGAGCCGGTGCTGACGCCGGGGCTGGTTGCTTCGTAAATAAATTTCTAATTTCTGCTCGGGGTCCGTCCACCTTAGGGCCTGGCTGCGCGCACGGCAGGCCCACCGCTCAGCCCGGTGCCCTGCGGGGGCGTCCGCGCTTAGAATTCTGTCCACACGCAGCCAGATCTCGGGTGGGAGGAGCGGTGCGAGATTAATTTACGTGGAATAATAGGATTTAACACACGGCCTAGGAGGTGAGACCTTCTCCACTAACCTGCACGTAGCCAGGCAGGAGACAGTACTCCCTGAGGCAGGAGGGGTCCCGGAGGCACCCACCTAGAAGAGGCACGGTCCATCCCCCCCCCCCCCACTCCACCCCCATTCCTGGTTCCTAACGTGCCCCAGGATGGAGCTCAGTCCTGCGGAGACCAGGGGTTTCAAACTGCAACCTGCACCCCTAAGTCAGTCCCAGAACCAATGTAGTGGCTCCCTCTCAACATTAAAAAAAAAAGAAATAGACACAACAGAGCGTATCAAACTGCAAAGATCATAAAAAGGATAAGTTAGGCCCTGGTCGGTTTGGCTCAGTGGAGAAAGCATTGACTTGTGGACCAAAAGGTCCCGGGTTCGATTCCAGTCAAGGGAACATACCAGGCTCTCCCCAGGAAGCAACCAATCGATGTGTTTCTCTCACATTGATATTTCTTTCCCTCTCTCATCCACTCTCCCTAAAAAATTAATGGAAAATATCCTCGGGTGAGGATTAACAACAACAAAAGAAAAGGAGAAGCCCTAACCGGTTTGGCTCAGTGGATAGAGCGTTGGCCTGCGGACTGAAGGGTCCCGGGTTCGATTCCGGTCAAGGGCATGTGCCTTGGTTGTGGGCACATCCCCAGTGGGGGGTGTGCAGGAGGCAGCTGATCTATGTTTCTCTCTCATCGATGTTTCTGATTCTCTATCCCTCTCCCTTCCTCTCTGTAGAAAATCAATAAAATAGAATAAAAAAAGAAAAGGAGAAGTAAGCTTTGGGAAACGGTTCAACTTTTCCTACGAGCGCACAGGACCACAGTCAGATGTAATTCTTCCTCTAGTTCCACTTGAAAGTAGTTCCCAAACCCCCCGCTCCTCATTTCCATGGCAGTGGGAACAGTGGCCCCAGGAATGAGCTGCCATCCTGGGAAAGTTCCTCTTCATCCCCCGCCAAAACGAGCTTCCTCAGCGCCAACACCTTTAGCTCTCACCCCACCCCCAGGGCCTGCCGCATCCTGGGCCACAGGGTGGCTGTCGGAGTGGGCGCAGCACTCACATGGTCCCCGCTGTCCTCTCTTGCAGCCAAGCTTCCCCGTGTGCCATGATTTCTGCACCTCCACCATCCTGACACCCATCTATGGGCAAGGACCAGGCGACAGGGGCTCCCAAGAAAAAAACAACAAAAAAGAAAAAAAAAAACAAAAAAAACACCACACACAAAAATAAAAAAGAAAGGGTCTCGCCCAGCCGGTGTGGCTCAGTGGTTGAGCATCGACCTATGAACCAAGAGGTCACGGTTCCATTCCGGTCAAGGGCACAGGCCCGGGTTGCGGGCTCGATCCCCAGTGTGGGGCGTGCGGGAGGCAGCTAATCAATGATTCTCTCTCATCATTGATGTTTCTCTCTTTCTCTCCCTCCCCCTTCCTCTCTGAAATCAATAACAATATATTTAAAAGGAACAAAAAGAAGAAAAAATAAGGAGATCTCAGCACTGGACACAGAGTTGCACAAGTGATAGGCAGCACCAAGCACCCCACTTCTAGCCTAGCCAGGCCTTGGACACCACCTTTATCCGTGCCATCCATCCACCTTCAACCAATGATGTCCAAGCCTCCGGCTCCACCCCGGGACTACGCACAGGTTCTCTGCTAGGACCTTTGCCCTGGCTACTCTCTCTGCCTGCAGCCTTCTCTCCCAATAGCCACCAGGTTGGGTCCCTTCCTCCAAGTCTTTGCTCAAATATATCCTTTTTTTAAAAAAATATATTTTATTGATTTTTTACAGAGAGGAGGGGAGAGGGATAGAGAGTTAGAAACATCAATGAGAGAGAAACATCGACCAGCTGCCTCCTGCACGCCCCCCGCTGGGGATGTGCCCGCAACCAAGGTACATGCCCTTGACCGGAATCGAACCTGGGACCCTTGAGTCCGCAGGCTGATGCTCTATCCACTAAGCCAAACCGGATAAAAAATCAATAAAATATATTTAAAAAAAATAATGCTAGGGCATCTATTATTGTTTTTTTGTTTAATTTTTTAAATTGATTTAAAAGAGGGAGAGAGAGATAGAAACATCAATGATGAGAGAGAATCATTGATGGGCTGCCTCCTGCACGCCCCCTACTGGGGACTGAGCCTGCAACCCAGGCATGTGCCCTGACTGGGAATCGAACAGTGACCTCCTGGTTCATAGGTTGACACTCAACCACTGAGCCACGCCGGCCGGGCAAAGATCGCCTTCTTGAAGAATCTGAACTTACCCCACTATTCCCCTTACCCTGAGGTTTTTTTCTTTCTTTCAAGGTACTCATCACCTAATAACATACTATCTGATTTGCTTATTTGTTGTGGTTTTTCTTTATTGTCTGAACGCCCCACCTGCCCCTCCATCCCCAAGATATTGACCGAGAAGGGCAGGGATTTTTGCTTCTCTGCTTGTTACTAATCCCAAGCCTCCAAAACAGTGCCTGGCATGTAATAGGCCCTCAAGGAGTACTGGCTGAATAAATGAATGAATGAATGAATGAATGCAATCTAAGGATCATGGAATGCTGCTGGCACACGTCAACCAACATAGGTATATCACCTTTGGTCCAATAAAGAGTTCCTCCCAAACATGAAATTATGCAATGTCTTTCTTCAGCCAAACACAGCACTTCCTACTGACCTCTTTTAAATCTATTGGTCCTGGTCCAGATTTCATCCTATGGAGGTCATTCTGAATATCTACTCTATTATGATACATTTTGCTTCCCTCCCAGTTTTGAGACACCTTTAAACGTGATAAGCATTTGTATGCCTTTATTCAAGTCATTGATAAGAATATTGGGCGAGCCCTAACTAGTTTGGCTCAGGGCGTCGTCCTGCGGACTGAAGGGTCCCGGGTTCGATTCCCATCAAGGGCACATACCTGGGTTGCAGGCTCCTCCCTGGTCGGGGCTCATGCAGAAAGCAACCAATCGATGTGTTTCTCTCACATCAATATTTCTCACTGTCTTTTCCGCTCTCTTCCACTCTCTAAAAATCAATGGAAAAATATCCTCAAGTGAGGATATATACATATATATAGTCGCACACCTAGCACCCAGTTCTTGGTTTCTAAATATCTATCTCCAATAAAAGGTACCAGGACTGTGGGGAAATGAAAGAGAAAGTAAAAGGTGAGCCCCGGATATTTTCTTTGGCCAGAAAGCAAGGAATTGGTTAAAGATTAATGGGATCATGTCAAAAGGACAAATGGGGCCAGACTGGTGACCAAACTTGACAATAAGGAAATAATGGATTCTAGTGCATGAAATGAAAAAACAACCCATCCGTCCACGGTGACATTCAGAGAAACACAGAGGAACAGAAGGGACAGAAAGGAAGCTTTCTTGCACAGAAATATGCCGGCTGGTAAATGTAGAAGAAGTGATAGAATTGGAAAATCTAGATTCGCCCTAACTGGTTTGGCTCAGTGGATAGAGCGTCGGCCTGCGGACTGAAGGGTCCTGGGTTCGATTCTGGTCAAGGGCATGTACCTTGGTTGCGGGCACATCCCCAGTAGGGGGAGCGTGCAGGAGGCAGCTGATCGATGTTTCTCTCTCATCGATGTTTCTAACTCTCTACCCCTCTCCCTTCCTCTCTGTAAAAAATCATAAGAATATATATATATATATATATATATATATATATATATATATATGAATGATATGGATTATTGCTTATGAACAAGCAACATGGAAAGTTGCTTGTGTCGTCCGGCGGGACATCAGATTGTACACACTATGATCAAAACCACGCAAAAACCGCATGCTCGACGAGACCAGGGAGAAACTCACCAGAAGTGGTTGGGTTAGGGCAGGGGTGGGCAAACTTTTTGACTCGAGGGCCACAATGGGTTCTTAAACTGGACCAGAGGGCCGGAACAAAAGCATGGATGGAGTGTTTGTGTTAACTAATATACATTCTAAGTAAACATCATTACATAAAAGGGTACGGTCTTTTTTTTAGTTTTATTCATTTCAAACGAGCCGTAGTTTGCCCACGGCTGGGCTAGAGCCTGAATCCCAGCAGCACATACCTCCTTAAAGGGCAGCAAGGCTAGTCTGCCTTAGTGTCTTGGCAACAGCTGGGCTGTGTGACTGCTGTGCATATCCCTAAGGAGGGGAGGCAGGGGCTGAGGCGGCCTTGCTGGTGGTTAATTACATCCCACTCATGGCTGCTCAGATGCTCTAGGAGTCCTTTAA